AGCAGACTTTTCTCTTTCTTTCTCTTTCTGCAAAATACGAGAAAAAGAAAGGAGAGAGAATGATATTGATGTATACGTTCTACGCATTTCATTATTTTGACGGCTTCCCTTAGGATAGAAACATACATAATACTGAAAAACGTTCGGTATTTCTGTATGTATTGCGCTGTTATTTATACATAGCGTCACTTGTAAATCATCAATGTTTAGCATTAAATTTGCAGACAGCGGGCAAAGCACAATCTGGAAATGTATGTAAACTGGAAATGACATACAATCTGTTCTACTTGGTACAAGGTACTAACTCTTCAGATCAAAAATATTTTTTTTCTCGATCGGCCGGTCAAATTAATTTTCTTTCGACCGGCCGGTTGCCGATACCGGTTACATCTCTGCGCTATACTACTTTTCTTCAGTTTACCTGTTGTTATGATCACATTTACCACAGATCCTGCAGGGGGAAGAGAAAGTTGTTTAATTTGCTGGTCTAACCAAAACTTTTCACACTTTTCATTCTTCCTAAAGGATCACTCATAAAAGAAATAATCACTTTGCATTTGGCTCTTATCTCCGTTAACGTTTATCGCTTTAACACTCCTTTATTAGTCAAGGAACCGACGTGAAATTGTCTATAAACACCATAGTCAGTGTTTTGAGAATGCTCATTTTTTCAACCAAAAATGTTTTTTTCGGTTTTATTCCTTTGTCCTTTATTTGAAAAATAATTTGAATTTGCTGAAAAATACTTGAGAACGTTGTTCATTTGGAACTTCTTAATATTTATTCTATAATTATTTATTTATATTTTGTAAAGAAAAACACTCAATATATTTTTTGTAGAGAAATCTCAGACGCATCTTTTGTGAAAAAGATTGCATTTATAATGAAAAAATTAGTACTAAAATGCTAGGTGAGTGCGTTATGAGCCACTCATTAGTGTTATGAGTCAGTTTTAGTTTTAGTAAAAACACTACAAAATCTTTCTAGAAATCTTAGCGTTGATTTAAACGCTTTTTCCCGTTAAATGTTTCCTTTGATGCGATGAGACGATTAGTGGCTTTTTGCAATAATTCAATGTGTGCCTCAATTGATATTGATTGAATCGTCATTTCGGAAACAGTTTCTTCTACTTGTTCAGCATCATTTTTAAACTTTTTCAATTTTAAAACAATATTATCCGTATTAGCAATAACCGATCTCACAAAACTAATAAACCCATTTAGTACATTTAAATTTCGTTCAAATTTCATTTGATCAATTTGTCCATTGCCTAATGTGAAGCGATATAACTTTACCAAGATATTTTCATGTTCAAGTTGGTCCAGTTCATTTTGTGTATGCACCTTATTTTTCTCTAATAAATCACGGATTGTGGAAAGTTGTTCTTGAATTTCATTTAAATGACGATGGGTATTTTGCGCTTTATGCAAACATCGTTCGAGTTTCTTTTCCACTAATAAAACGTAGTCATTAAATGATTGTTCAATCGATTTTTGTCCGTCGTGTATTAATTGATTCGACGATGAGGATTCTCGAGTTAAATGTTCTAGCACATGTTCAGCATAAGAATGTAAATAATCTATGGTAGTATCAAATGCAGCTGCCAAACCAGACAATTCATCAGCTGTATTTTGAATAGATTTTCTTAGAGCAGTGAAATGAGTTAACAGTTCCTGTTTAGCTAATGAATCAATATTACTGTAACCGAGTGTGACAATAAGCTCTGTTATAGAAAGTTTAACTTCAATCATTCTTTCTGGTGCAGAAACATCAGAATTCGCTAATATTTCAGCTAACGATGTACTCTTTTCAATGAAAGGGCCAATTGGAGGTAACTTTACTGAAGAGGAAGTTCCATTGTTTTCACTGACAGATGAGCAATGTTCGCCAATAAGTACACGAACCGTAGAAAATTGACATGCTGTTGGTAGTATAACCAACTGAGCAACCTTAATAACTATTGCAATCGCTAGAACAACTCCCACGAGTGGTCTCAACACGCGCCAAACAGTTCCAAATACGTACATCACTTCATTCATTATCCATTGTACGACATTTTGATTTCTCTGATGATCTCGACCAGCGTTATTCATGTTGTCCAATTTTTGCTTTGATTTGTTAGTACGAGAAAGACGAATGAGTTTACGATTATTTAAAAAATGACAAACCCATTCTCTACTTTAAAAATCATTTTCTTTCTTTCTTTCTTCAAAGCTACAGTTATGTGTGAAAAATAATAGAGTAGCGACATGATCTTTGTCTGCAAGGAAAAAAATAGAAAAAGAGTTAATAAGAAGTCTTTTGAAGAAAGAAAGAAGAAAAATATTTTTAAAATAGAGAATGGGTTTATAAATTTTTATGTAATCGTAAACTAATAAACTATTATTTCTCGTACCTACAAATCAAAGCAAAAATTTGACAACATGAATAACGCTGACCAAGAGAAATCAAAATGTCGTACAATGGGTAATGAATGAAGTGATATATATATTCGGAACTCTTCGGCATGTGTTAAGACCGGTCATGGCAATTGTTCTAGCAATTTTTACTCAATGACGCGATACTAGTGTCCCAGAATGCTAACCTTTGGCTAAACAAGTAAAAGTAGTTTCATTGTTGTAGTGTTGGAAAATTCTAATTGGAAGTAAAAGACTGAACTTTTCAAGGGCTACAAAATGGCTATCTAGAGTTTTCTATATCTCAACAAACAAACAGCAAAATCTTAAAGTTTTTGTGGCTCAAGATTCCAGTGCGGCTTATTCAAGATCTTAGACAAATATCAGCGAAATCTTACTGAAACCTTGAGCCTCGGAAACTATAAGATTTGGCTAAGATCTTACTAAGGTTGTGTTAAACAACAGACATCTTTCGTTCTCCAAAATCATTAGACAATTCTAGGATTTCACACGAATATTTGCTTTTATTATCTAGGAAGTGTATCAAATGAAAAGACTCCTTCTTGGAACAAAGATCTTGACTTCTTGAATTTTTTCAGTAAATCTTAATAAGAAAATGTAAGAATTCAAGATCGTGAACACCTTGTAATTTCTTGACTACTTGCACCAAGATCTTGAGTTGTTGAATCTCGTACCTAAGATCTCGGAAATTCTTGAATCGTCGTTTTGTTTTACAGTCTTGTGTAAAGATAAGTGAGAATATTTTGACACTTCGAATAACTGCGAATGTTTTCCATCTTGAATATAGTTGTTTAAGGACGAACCTATGACTTTATATGGTCGTAGTTCGAGTTATATTTTTTCCCCCTTTCAACTACTATATATAATCATCTCTCTGCCAAATTCCACAGTTCTATTCGCCTTATGATGGTAGTGTGAATATTCATAGCTCGTTTTTTATGTAAAATGATTTTACAATAATGTTTTTCAATTATATTAAATATACCTAGTTTTATAAAATAACATTAAAAAGTCAAAGAATGTCACATGGCTCAGCATTTTATAATGTTTGGTCGAACAACATAATTATAGCAGTTTGAATTGAATATTATGGAAGAAGAACAACAACAATGAGAATTTCAATGAAATATGTAGAACGTAGACGTAGATTATATTCTACGCGCAGATATAGAGCAATATCATTTTCTTCTTCAATATATTTGTTCAACGAAACGCTCTTATTGACTTGATGTCTTCTGTATTGTTTGTTCTTATATACAGTGTCCATGGACGAAGTCTTCTTTGTTCACTCAAATTTCTCTGTCTCTCTCACCACCATCTCTCATTTTTTCTCTTAACTGTCTTATTATTGTATCATTTGTGTCGAATAGATTCAGGCATACAATGATTTTATTATCGATTTGCTTAAATAAAAGCTATTGCTTAAAAATAGTTATAGAAATAGGCTTTTGATGGAACGCTATTTCTCAAACTTTTATTGGTCTAGTTTTGGCCAATGGGAATCCGTATTATGAGAAAAGTATCGCGGACGATAATTTAGCTAGAAACTTAGAGCTGCGATCATCGAACATAAACAAATGACAGATGAAAGTTTGAGTCTAGTGTATCCCTATTCATTTCTACGGTAGCAAACTCCACTTTCATTTTTTGTAATGAATCAATTTCCCTGAAAAATTAAAATAAATTAATTTTGATTGTCGTATTTTCATTGCCTATAGTTCTAAAAAGCAAAATATGAAAAACTGACTGGCAACCAATTTGAGACATTGCCGAATTCTCTGGCATGAAGAATGACAGAAAATTTGAAGCATTGTGCGAACTATATCTCTTGAACGAAACGATGAGGAGCTAACTGTTAAAACTTGTATCGATACCTTGAAAGAACGAACATTTGCTGAAAGCTTCAGCTAGATGGACCTAGCAGTCACCGTAATCGGTTTCTAACGTATCGGAGAACCTTAAGAGGGTCCGCTCATTTAGATTTTCTTAAAATCTCTGCAGTTTGTAGAAGACACTCTAAAGTATATAGCGTGTAGTTTTTTCGGCTTATTAACATTATTCTGACTAGAAGAAGTTTAATTAATGACTTGGATAATTTTTGTTAACTTCTATCTTCGAAGCTACACGCTAAAAAAGAAAGTGGCGCATTTTTGTGAATGGAGCTTAATACTGTACCAATGAAGCCAAAAAGAAAAAGAGGTACAGGAAAATAACAGATTATTTGTTGTGATATGTAATTGCTTTCTGCTAGTGAGATTCCATTTGGCATTATTACTGATTGAGATTTACTCCCAAGTTTTTGCTGTTTTCTTTGGTCAAGTGAACGAATTCATGCGTAAGAATTTTCACGTACATGCCGGATTTTTGTTTTGTAACAAAATCTCATCCTGTTATTGGTCATTAGTGAGTATGAAATGGCTCTGTTTAAAATAACATAATTGATTCATCATCATTTCAATTCAGAAACAAATGCCCTACTTCTTTTCTGTATAGCGACGATCTGCTTTGGAAAAAATGTTTCAACCAAAGGTTTCAAAGGGCTATATGTTATTATTGCAGTAGTTGCAATCCGAGCTAAAGCAAAAAAAGACTTACAAGATGATAGAAAGGACATGTGTACTCAGTCTTGATTGTTGTTATGCATAGGTTTAATCTTTATCTTTTTAATCACATATTTTCTCCCCTCATTTGTATATATAAATTAGTTTTTCTTAGTTTTGTAGTCATTTTTTCGATCCGTATTCTCACGGGTTAGCACCCTTGTACGCTGTCTGTGTGTTAGCGTCCATGCCATCTTATTCTACTTCTTCTTTCAAATAAATATTCAGACCTGTGAAGCCAATTATCCCAAGTTAGCAAAAAAGCTCTCATACAAGTCATTTACTGGAGATCATTCCATCTGCGTTTGAGAAATCTATAAATAGACAGAACGAAGGACGAAACGGTTTTTGATCATCATTCTTGTTTGATTTTGCACACATTATGGTCTTTTGCAGTGACTCAGTGGAAAAAACCTTCTTTAAAAATATGCTTTGCACATTTCTCACCTTTATGACGATATTTGTCATTGAACAGATTGTTTACTTTGGTGATTATTGCTAATAAAATCGTGCTTCATTGATCAGAGATTGATGTCTGCGGGATACACATAATACACTGTCTACGCTATTATATAAAAGTATAGTTAAATATTCCGCACTAAACTACGATACATCGCTTAAATGTATCTGCCACTTGAAGTAATAGAAAATATTCTTAATCTCATACCCTAACTTCAGTTCATATGGTATTTTAGTTATTACACATTCTTTTATTTGTCTCACTATGCCACTGTCTTTCGAGCCCGATAAAACCGATGGTGAATTACGCATATTCAGTGGTACTGCAGAATGAAATAACAGACCTTTTCTGGCTCATTGATAGGAATGGAAAACATTTGAATTGCATATGAATACTACAGGATGGATAGCGTAAGTTCTACATCGGGAATCAGAATCGCTGTTTCTTAGGTGGTTCCTTTTTTCGGAACCAAGACTTTTGGGTTGTCTTTCTTTTAACAAAATGAAAATACACTATAGACAAAGACACAAAAAGATATATTTGCCTGTCATCATTTGAAAGAATCCTTTCGTTTACTATAAAATGAAGTCTATCTCGATGAATCGTGGCTTCGACTCCAGAACTCAGAAACGAATATCCCTAGTGATAACTTATACCGGTTTATGATAACGGTGAGAAGTGTTTTCTTGTGATGTGCACTAGTCCAGAACAAGAATTTATAGAATTACATGAGCGGGCAGTTTTAAAATGTATTGTTACACACTTTGTCATGGTGAATCATCGTGGCATTAGTTGAGTTTTCTTATTTGCTGGAACCTTCCGCGGATACCTCGGTTATTCGGAAAGCTAGAGAACGAAGGTGCTCGACTGCCCACAGATGCAATTACTTTTCCTTCTCAACAGATTCCTCTTCTGGGCTATGGCAATTCAATGTTCTATTACAGTTCTCCATCCGAATTATACTTTCGATCCTTAGATGTGTTTTTTTGATCGCAACTAGTACCTGAGGTCTTGTAACTAGAAGTTGCACGTTACTTGGTCGAGCGTAAGGAGAGCTAACATGTTTTTTTTTTGCGATCGTTCCTTAAATTGATCTTCGGAATCACGGTCTTTTTGGTCAAGGTCGAAGATGAACGTTACTTGTTGATTATCAAGTATTTGTTTTACAACCGCTTTTTAAAATATCAAAATTATTTTGTTCATTATCAAGGGTGGTACGGACACAACAGATGAAATGTGTTTACATATTTTTATTTATTATCCAAGAATACCTAATTTATATGGTTGTTACACAGATCTGAGTGGCGCATTGTCTAGCATGTTGAGTTGTTCCATGAGCCATCGATTTTAAAGTTTTATTCATGTTTTCAAAGAAAAAAGTTGAATAATCATTTAACGGTGCATGTTGTTTCATTGAGAGATGGATATGGCAAAG